TCTCTCGGGCCTTGTGCCCCCAATCCTAGTGGTAACCTACAGAAAATTGTTTATTGGCGAAAGGGAAATCACTGACAGGGAATGTTGATAATTAAAGTTGATAAAGGAGATGGACCAGGCATCAGGCATGATGTAAATAGCTTTCTGGTCCCCCACCCCCACTCCTCGGGGCAGAAGTTATATGAGCTGGATCTGGGATCGTGTGTAGATATGAGGAGGGTGATTTGTGTATGTAATTGTGTTCCGATCTTCCAATCCGCAAGAATTCTTGCCATCTCCATCACATCCCCAATCAATAAACCCTCTGTCATGCTGAGGTGTGGCATGTCTTCTGCTGAAAACCTCAGATTCAGAAACAACACACACTGAGACACACGCTCGCGTGCGCGTACACGCACGCTTTATCACCCTCATGACACAAGCTCCTTTCAAACTGGTTTAAAAATAGCACTAATCCATTCAGCTTATTTTTCAGGAGCATTATTTTAAGATGAAAAATAGAAGATACCCTGGTCTTTGAGAGGGAGAAAGGCTAAAGCCTTGCCTAGTCTTAAAAAGTCCTGATAATGTTGCTAGAGACTAAGCCTTTGCAGTCTTTGTTCCATTTTCTCCTCCTCCCATTCAACAAAAGTTGTTTATCGGCTAATACCCTGCCATCTGGGTATTTACAGAGGTGGGTTTCCTTTTCAGGTGGTGGTGCCAGGGCAAAGGTACAGCATCAAGCCCTTCCCTGTCCCTGGCCTCTCCATCGGCTCTCCGCTCCCCCCGCCCCCCTGCAGTGACTGGAGGCCGGTGGATTTGTGAATCAGCTTTCCCTTCCCCTACACAGGGGAGCCCCAAAACGCTGCTGGCCGTTTGCAAAAGACTGTGTGTATGTGTGTGTTTAATTGCAGGTTTATTTGTTCCTGCTCTGGGAGTCTGTCTGTCTGTAACTTGGATGACTGCTCTCTGAGAAGCTGTAGCTGGCTGATTCCGTGGGCGACCGAGCAGGATGCGTGGGCGCAGGAAACAGAAAAGGGAAAAGAAAGCGGGAGGGAGAGAAAGGGAACGCGCGCGAGAGAGCGGGAGCCTTAGAATCTGTTATTTGCGTCACTTGAGGAGCTGGGGCTATCTGCCCGACAAACAGACAGAATTAATCCGAGTTATAGCCAGAGCTGTCTCCGCTACAGCGGTCAGCTGCGAAAGGGCGGGGAAAGGACGCTCGCTCCGCGCCTGTGCCGAGCCGAGCTTGCACCCGGCGGCGCAGGGCTTTTGGGGAGGGGGGCTGTGCTGCTGGGCAAGCCCTCGGGGCCCCGCACGCCCGGTGCACACCTGGTTGCAGCCTTCTCTGCAGCTGCCCAGCCCAAGCCTAGGGTGGCGCCCGCCTCGGCCGCCTCGCTTGTTCAGTGGCTGCGCCGAACACAAAGCGTCGTCTCTGAGCAGAAGCCTCTTCTCGGCTGAACCAGACCCACCAAAGAGGAGAATCTGCACGTGACGTCAGTAGCTGATGACTGACGCAGGCTGGCAAAGGAGACTCAAGGCGGCTGCTCCGCGCTGCCTTCATGAGTCTATTTTCTCCAACCCCTTCGTAGTGAATTACTAGAACGCAAAACACACACACACACACATACACACACACACACACAGCGCCTTCAAAATATACATTTCCAAAGGCGGTGTGTTGCAAACACAGCGAGATTTTGCAAAGCATGGGTGGGAAACGTGGGAAGGGTATGGAGGGTTTTTTTTTTTTTTCTTTTCCTTTCCTCATTTGGGAGTCTCCAGCGTGGACCACATTAGACTCTAGAGCTTTTTTTGGAAGCTCCTCTGGGGATGGGGTCTAAGCACCCCACCCCACCCCCATTTCCCAAGCACGTCTGGTCAATGGGGACCTGCAGCTCTAAAAGAATACAACCACTCCAAAGCCTTCTGGTCGGGGAGACAGTGAGGAGCTTGCAACAGGCGGAGGCAGACGGGAGTTAATGGGAGGGAGGGAGAATATAAGCAATATTTGGGTGTTTTTCTGCTTTGAAAAAATCATCTGCAGTAATGTAAGTGAGTGTGGTGGTGCAGGGAAAAGTGGGGAGGGGGCGCTTAATGCACATCTAATGTTTTGGACGTAACGTTCCAGCGAAATGCCTTTGTGTGTGGAGGTTTTTTCAGTACTTGCTAAAAATAGCATCAGGGTTTGATCGTGTTCCAGAAATAGACCGAGGGCTGCACTGGGATAAAAAGCCAGCGCGGGTGGAAGAAAACCTGGACATCACCGCATTCCTCCCCCCCCCCCAACTATGTCTGGAAATTAATTGTTGGATTTTTCCTTTCCTCTCTCCTGTCTCCCTCTCTCTCTCCACTTTCTCTTCCCACCCCGTGTTTCTCTTTCTCTCTCTTAAGGAGTTCCCGTTTGGGTAAGTAATATTATGTCATGTGCATGCCGCAGACTGTGAGTATGAACTGAGGCTTACTTTGTGCATGCCCTGGGGTTCTTTTTTGGCTGCTTTTTCACCCCTTTTCTAAAGAGAAGGGTGGTACTGAGTAGGGGGTGAGGGGTATAGCTGTGTGTGTACATAATGAATTTGGGGCTGCATGAAAAGGAACCGAAAGGGGGAATTCTTGCAGAGCCGGGAATCACCCTGACCAATCTCTGAATCAATAGCTGCAACTCTCTCTCTCTCTATGGGTCGGCGCTGTTGAGCCCGGTTCTCTCGACTGCCCCCCTCCGTTCCCCATTTTCTCTGTCTTAAAGGGTGTCCAGATACGACTTAATGGGCCATCTCTCTGCGAGATTAATGGAGACAATGCGATATAGATTAAAATTGCATGGTGGGGCTGGGAGGTAAAAGAAGGAAAAATCCGCGTTCCTTTGACAAACTTCCCTGCTCGCTCCGGTCCGGGAGCCGGAGGACCGCGACCCTGGCGGATCCCGGCTGGCCCAGGGCGCGGTAGCTGTCCATGGAAGGCAGGTGCTGAAAATTCCTTGGTCCTTGGCGAGTTCAGCTCCGAGCGCCAGGGGGCGGGGTTGGCGCCAGTTGCGGATAGCCCCGCCCTGAATGCAGAAGAGGGATATGGAGAGGAGAGGGTTAAGGATGTTCAAAGAGGATAGTCGTGACTTCGGTGAGAGCTTTGGGGAAAAGGAGGGGTGAGTGGGAAGGAAAGGGAAAAAATGTAAAGGAGGGGGTGCAAAGTGTTAGATTCGAGGATGAGCCAAGGCCCAGCGCTCCAGGAACCGCAAGCCGGTGGTTTACCGGCTTTCTCCGCAGAGGCCAGGCACTATCTGGGTCTCCATTCCCAGGCGCCCGCACCTTCCCGCCAGTGGGTTTGAAAGATTTCTCTCCAGTGATGGTCCCTTTCAAATAAGAGGCTATAGGATCGCTCTATTCAGACTCTCGTCGCTCCCACTTTATGCCCCCCACGTTCCCACATCCTGCAGTTCCCGGGAGGTGTGTAAGGATGTGTCTGTGCGTTATGGCATTTTCCTTACTATTCCCTTTCCTTAGCGTCCTAGTCATGGGAGCCCCAAATGAGTTGGTGGAATGAATGAATTAGAAGCCAAACCAAAGCACAAGAGTTGCTGGTGCGATGCGCAGAAAATCCAGGCTTGGGAACATCGCCCAGAGCCTTCAAGCCAAAAATGCCAAAGGGTTTCTGAAAACCGGCTCTGAAGGAAACTAGGGAGGGAGGGGGTTCTTCTCCAAGTTCCCAAATGTTATTGGGGAGACCATCAACTCCCTGGGGTTATGGGTTTGACCCAACGTGATATGCACTGCAATCAACTCCAGTTACTTTAGTTAAACCTGTAGCCAGACAGGTGAAGAGGGAGGAAGGTTATCAGAGGCCAGAGGCGGGGGGGGGGGGGGGGTGAGGAATAAACATCACTGGGGCATACAAAGACATCTTGCTGATTAACTCCTCAGGGAGAAATAATAAAAATGCATCCTCAAATTGGCCCACAAGGGTGGGCTGTACACAGTGGGGGGGGAGAGGTGAAGCTATCTTGTAGATCTGCAGTAAGCTTGTGTGCATGCAGGGATATTTTCTATACCTGTAATAATAATAAAGGAAAAAAAAAAAGGACGGTGAGGTAAGTATCTGTGAGGTCTGGCCTTCAACTGAAAGAGGAGAGCCCAGGTCCCCCATCCTAACCCACTAACAGCCTATGGCTTCAGTGACCTGACCACCCCCCACCCCCACCCCAACTCAGGGCACTGGAGGCGTAGCCCTGGGGTGCGGGCCGGGGGTCGAGTTATTTTTACTTTAGAAGTAGTCTTATCTGGGAAGGTTCCCTGGCTGAGACAGTATTCGTCAACTCATAATAGTAACAAGGGCTGTTACTGATGTGGAGAATAACACAAATAACTTCAACCCACACTTCGTCTTGACAATTCAGCTCAAACCAAAGCTGCTCGCAGCCTCCCAGCCCACCCCTCGGCCTCCTCGTCACTCACCCGGACCCACTCCTTCCCTTTCCCAAGCCTCGCCCCTCTCAGCCCCACAAGTTGCGTGGTTATGTTTACAAATTCTGCCACAATTGCAAAGGCAAGAGCTTGGGGGGGGGGCGGCGCTAGGAGGGATGTCAGCGCAATAAAACATATGCAACACGTGGAGTGGTGGGAAGCGGGGTCATTACGGGGAAAGAGAGGACGCCCCATGTCCTCATTTTCCCCCCGGACCCCTCTCCTCATCGCTTGACACAATGCACAAGTTTACCCCCGAACTAGATCCTATTAAATAATTCAATGGTAGCGGTGTAATTTTGGTTGGAACCAGCACGGATTCCCAAGTCGTGACTGCAAAAAGTGAGTAATGCGCGCTGGCTGCGTCATGGCTCTAGTCACAGTTCATTCCGAACTGAGAAGGAATCGTGACTTCGCCTGGAGACGTCCCCTACAAGGGAGACGGCGCGCGGGGAATCGTGACCCTCCCACACAGTACAGTAACTTATATACTTACCTGGAAGAGCCCGCTCCGCCGCCGGGCCAACACCCGTGGGGGGCGGGGAAGGGCGGGAGGGGAGCGGGCCGGTCGGAGAGGGGCGCCTCCAAGCTGGCTGCAGTGCGGACCGGACCGGCGCGCTCCAGGAACCTGGGGACCCAGGTAAGGAGAAGGGGTGACGGTGCACAGGTCGGCCGGCGGTCGGTCGGCTCAATGGTCGGCTGAGTAGAACTTTTTCTTTTATTTTTCTCCCACAGGGGGCCGCGCCGCCGCTGCGGCGGCCGCGGACTGTGGAGCCCCCTCTGGCGCGGCGGACGCGCCGACGCTCCGAGGGTGTGTGCGTGCGTCTGCCGGTCGCCGAGCCGAGGGGACGCCGTGGGAGGGTGGGAGGGTCGCGGAGCTGCCGGAGGGTGATGGATGGGCGGAGGGGGTGGGCCAACAGAGACTTGGAGACGGTCTAGCTGGATTTTCTCTGGGCAAGCTTAAGCCAGAGCGTGCGTGTGCGCCCGCGCCCGCCGGCACGTCGATTCCAGGGTGGCAAACAACAAATATGGCAACTTTTCCCCCCAAGTTCTGGCGATGTTTTGCAACACCCCACTTAGGCTGAATCTTTCCTCCCCCGGGGGGACTACCCTCGGGGAGGGAGGTGGTCTGAATGTTCCTTTGCCCAAATCCTTCTTGGACCGTGATGGGGCGAGGTGAGACCAGACTGGGGAAGGGTGGCGCTGCCCTGGGGAGAAGGAGGGCAACCCCTCAAAGTTTGACTACGTTGGATGGCGGAGGGGGCCTAAAGGGAGAGAGGGAAGAGGGAAGGAGGGATAACGTAGGAAAGAGATCTCCCTCCTCCTTCCACCCTAGTCTCCCTTCCCCTCCCCTCTGCTTCCTCCAGCAGAGGGTGGAATCTCCCGACGTTGTGGGAGCCGGCGGAGAGGCGGTCGCCTCTCGTTGTTCCCCTCAACATTCTGCAGAATGGGTAGGGAGTGCGGGGCGGGGGCTGGGAGGGGGGGCTGGCAGCAATGAAAGGGCGCCCGAGGCAAGTGGGACATTAGACACTGAACATCTAGACGGGCTTGGGGAGGGGGGGTACGGAAGGAGGGGCTTCACCCTGCCTATCGAGCTTCCAGAACTTTAACGGGGAGTGGGGTTCGAGCCATCCTCCTTTTTTTTTTTTTTTTTTAAGAAATAGGCTGACTACTGTGCAGTTTGGGTATATTTTCTGTTTATCTTGGCCTGTCATTTTACGTCTGAATCTCCTGGCTTAGGTCCTGTTGGGAGAGGTCGCTCTCTTGAACCCTGGCCCAATATCTCACGCCCTCGCCTGGGCTGGAATGGGGCAGGGGGGCTTGGCCGGATTTTTTGCAACAACAATATTTTAACGTGTTCCAGTCTGGGTTTTGTTAAATAATTAGAAATGGAAATATTTTTTTCCTCCCTCCCCCTTCTGGAAAAAAAAAAAAAAAGGAAATGTGAGCTCTCTCCTGATTGGTGGGTGACGATTTTAGTCCTCACCAATGAGCTGGCGGCCTCGTCTGTATTTATTTAGTGCTCTGGGGGAGTTTTTCTCTTTACGCAGCGCCTGTAGTCACGGCTGGAACCTCTGCTGGGGGACTAGGAGGGACAAGAGGGGGTTCAGGGGGAATCCGAACTGTACCTGTTTAGAGATCCGCGACCTTGCAGCCGGGGCTGGCGGAACCCTGAGAGGGGAAAGAGTGTGACAGGACAGATAGGCGGGGAGGCTCAGGGTGCTGGGGTGCCGGAGAGGGGTGGAGGCTGGGCTCCGGGATCCCTGGTCCCCTCTCCGCGCTCCTCCTCTGGCCCTCTACACACCTCGCTCGAGGCAGTTGCGGGCTGAGTTGGGGGATCGCGGACGGTGTGGAGAAATGGAGGGATGGGGCGAGGGGTTCGAGGAGGGGCGAGAGTCGGGCGGGCGGCGCGCAGGGTGGGAAGGCTGAGCCGCGTTGGAGCGCGCTAGGGAGACCCAGCCGGCTCGGCTCCGGGGTTCGGAGACATCCTGGGCTGAAGGCGGCGGCGGCGGACTGAAGAAGCCAGCAGACTCTGCCCTTCGCGAATCTTTTTGCGGTCTGGGCTTGCTGTACATAACTCAATAGCCGGAAGCCCTTACCCCAAAAAGCATTCGCGGAGGGCGCACTCGTCGAGAAGACGGCAGCCACCAGCGATCGCCGAAGTCCGCACCTTCCCGAAACGGCTCAGTCCGAGCCTTTCCCAGCCCTCTCCCCGTTTTCCACGGAAGAATCAGTCCTTTCCCTCGCGTCCTTCCCGCGCTCCCTGAGGCTTTGGTCACCCGCCTGTCCTCCGCGCAGGTCCCCCACCCCCAACTTTTTAATCGACTTTGTATCACAGGGGGAATCGGAGCAGGCGGTGTGCGTAATGGTTTCGGAGAAGTGGGAAAAAGCTGAAATACAATAAAAGTTTACACAAGTTGTGTCTCCCCCACCACCACCACCAACCTCCACCCACACCCCGAATAAGCCCACTCACCCACTGCAAAAAAAAAAAAAAGGAATCTGGTCTTAGGGCCAAATCGGTACCTGGAATATGAATCAGTTTAGGACATTTTCTGGTCATTTTTGACCCATATGATCCAACTCTGCAATATAGGGGTGGGGAAGCCCTTGAGGGAGAGGCGGGAAGCCCTCAGCATCCCCTTTCCTAGTGGGGGACCCCGAGGTGAGGGGAGACGCGGTGAACTGGGCAGCTCCGAAAAAAAGGGAAAATACCCAGGCACCGCCCGCTCCCCGGAGTCCCTTCTTCCCCCAACACCTGCTTCCAACCTAATTTGAAGCGTTTTGCAGCCTCAGGTCCCCCCCATCTCGCCTTGCTCAAAACTAAGTGGCACAGAAAGGGATAAAACATGTGAAAACTGGGAAAACCCCCGCAGAGAAGGAGCATTTGGGAGATGTGGTTGCACCCGAGTCAGAAGCTCAGCAGTGGCAACAGCAGCGCAGTCCTGGCCTCTTTAGGTGCCCCGTCCTGGGGAGCGGAGCAGAGCTGCAGGGTTGGGGATCAGCTCTGGGTGCCCCCCTCCTCACCTCCCCTTCCACTGCTTGCAGTCGTGACCGCTTCGGTTACAAGTGGCAAAGATCAGGCCTTCACCATGCTCTGCGCCCCCCACGTCCTTCGTCAGCTAGAAACACTGCTAGACGCCCTTAGGGACTGAACCAGAAGGACACACAGACACACGGAGGCCCAGAGGGATGGACACGGCTAGAGGATGAGTCTAGGGATATGAGAGTCCAAGACCCGAGGGCTGCGAAGCTTCGCATTTTCCGGGAGGGCCTGAATTCCGCCCCCCCTGCACCCCAATCACCATTCTCCCAGCAAACTAAACGCCCACCGTCATTCCCTTCTCCCTGAGCCGAGCACCCAGAGTCTATCCTCTCCCGTAGGAGGAAAAAGGGCTCCAAAGTCCGAGAGTGCTGGACAGAGTCAATCTTTTCTAGCTCAGCCTGCGAGGAGGCACGGAAGGCGAGGACTCCCAACTCCAGGGATAAATCAGAGCCCCTCTCCCCAGATAAAGGAGATTTTCTCTCTCCGGTTGCGTTTTCTGAAAGAGTAAAAGGGTCCCTAAGATCTGCAAAGGAGATGGAGCCGAAGCAAAAGCTCTGGGGGATTTCCTCCCTGCCTCTCACCTGGGGCCGTCTGTGGAGCGATAGCTTCGCGGAGGGAAGACGCGCAAAAGCCAGGCTAGATTAAAAATAGCCTCACCCCGTGTCCCTTCAGCATCTCTTTTGTTTTTCCTTTTTTTTTTTTTGCTTCTTACCTTCCCCTTCTCTCCCCAGCCAGAAAGCCCTCCTCTCTCCAAAAGCCGGAACCTCCACCAGGTTTTGGAGAGAGGTGACCTGAGCGAAGTGAACTCGCACAAAAGCAGTAAAAGCCGCCTGAGTGAGGGCGGCTCGAGGTCCCCGCGCCCCTGGCCCCCCTCCGTCCTCCCACAGGCGAGGTGTGGGGCCGGGGCCCGGGAACCTCGAGCACCGGGCCGAAGCCGGCGTCGTGCGCGCCCGAGCGAGTCCTCGCCTCGCCTCGCCTCAGCCAGACAACTGTTGCTGCTGTGAAGAAGCTACTGCGGCACAGCTGCTGGGGCGGCCGACCTCACACCGGCCACGCACTGATCCGGGGCGGGGGGCTTGCGCAGAGGGGGGGTCTCATTCCGGGTGGGGCCAGAGGAAAGCACCCCCCTCCCCTTTCCCTTCGCCAGGAGTGAAAATTGGTGGCTTCTTGGACATCTTTCCTTCCCTCCTAAGGGCGGCTGCTTCACCCTGAGGCCAGTGGGAGCTGTCCCTCCGCTTTCTCCCCACTTTGTCTTTGCTGAGAAAGGAGGGCAAAGTGGGGGGAGGACCTCTTTGAACCCTCAAACTGCTAACGCACACACCTTTTGAAAAAAAAAAAAAAAAAGCCACGTCACCCAGTAAGCCAGGGGCCTGATGGAAACTTCCAGGCACTTGCATCTGATGCAAACTGTCGAGCGCCTACATTAGGGAGAAGGGGTAGCAGTTGGAGACCCTTTCTCACCCCAGTGTGCTTCGCCCTGGGGGTGGGAAGTGTCCAGGGAGTCCCCGGGGACGCTTGGTCCCCGGAGCCCATTAGCTAGCTTAGCTTTTGCCTAGGTCAGAAAATCCAGACCAGGCTGGTCTCCCGAGCAGAGGAAGGGGTGAAGACATCTCGGAGGCCCCTCTCTATCACCTGCCCCCTGGTGGCTGGGTCAGGCTGGGGGTTCCCCGCGCTCTCACCCTCAGGCCCAGTTTTGGTTGCTCTGTTCTTGCGCAGCTCCCCCCTTCCTCTCCTGCTCTATCCGTGGCTGGAGCCAAGTTTCCTCCCCTTGCCCAGCTCTTTTGCCCCTTCTGGCCTCTTTTCCAAGACCTGTGGTTGCTTTGAATCCCTTCCTTACCTGCCTTAGGCTGGAGGCAAAGGAAGGGACCGAGTCAATGAAATTGAGCACACGTCTGCAGTCTCAGACCGGGGCCCTCTTCTCTGTCCCAGGACTTCTCAACCCAGGGGGCTGTGTGGGCATCTCTGAGAAGCTCTCCTCTTGCTTCAGCCCCTCTGCCTTGTAACTCTTGGCCCAGATGCACCCCTCTGCCCCTTTCCTTCCCTGTAGCCTCCCTACCCCCATGATTTCCTACAAAATGCCCCAGCCCCCAAACGTTCCCGTTCTCCTCCAGAGCCAGCAAAGTAACCTTGCCCATCCTTGGCCCTTTCAGGTGGTCAAACCTGCCCTGACCCCTGGAGGTCTGCGTGAGGGGTGGTCACTGAAGGAAGAGCTCTCAGAGGCCATAGGAGCTGAAGAGTCTGCACAGATGAGTTCTGGAGTCCCCGGTAAGTGCAGAGATACCCCAGCCCGTGGCCCCTTGGCCTGGGCAGTGTGTGTACACTCCCCACTTGGCGACGAGACACAGGGAAGCCAGAGATCCAGTGCTTGGGGATGGTCCTCAATGGCTTAGCATTTGGCAAAGAGAAGCATCCAGCATACAGGTGATTGGGGAGGGGCACAGTACCCCAGGAAGCAGCCCCCTTTCCTGTCTTATCCCCTAGCAGGACCTGGACCTGGGTGTTTGGAAGCTCCCAAGCCTTCAGGACTCAGGGGTGCAGGGCTTCTTCAGTGGGGCCCAGAGGTGCCCCTCTGCCCCCATGTCCTGGGCTATGTCAGGCCTCTTAGGGGCCCAGGAGAGTCATGGAGTTGAAGGGAGATTTACTGCTCAGCTTAGTTTTTCTGAGGAAGCCAGCACTTTGAGTTCTGTCTACTTAACTGGGGTTCATCATAGGAAAGATAGGAAGATTTTTAGGTTATTGATTTTTTTTTGAGGGGTAAGGCATTAAACTCTAAACACATTTACTTTTACTATTAACCAGCAAAATCCTTTGCTACAGAGCTTTTGTTTAGCTGCTTTGCTGAGCTTCAGAGTCATACTGTGATTTGCATTGGGGAATACAGTTCAAAGCTAGGCAGAGAATTTTGAAACTCCAGGGCTGCTAGATTTGTGAGATGGGGAGGAACCGAGCGCCCTAACTTATCCTTGGCTGTTATGTGAGCAAAATGTAGGAAGCTGCCAGAAATTCTAGAGGAAACTTGAGGCTCATGGTAGAACAGAAGCACAGTCCATGGAAGACCTTTGGATCATTACACAACAGACCTATTTACTGAATTAATTAAATGACTGCTACATAGATTTTGTGAAATGCTTACTTTTGAGAATGGAACTTTAACAATAAGTTGATTGACTAGAAACCTCTATAATCCCACCTTGTAAAGTGAGAGCAAGATCTTCAAATCACTGGCTGAACCTAACTTCTCTTAAATTCCCCTTTTGAATATAAGTTTTCAGCATCTGTCTTAGAGCAACAGGGCTGTAGTTCATTCCAAGAGGTTAACATCTCCCCCTTCTCCCCCTTTAATTGATATTTCAGTTGCCTTGTAGAAACATCTAAGAAAATAATAGAGGGGGTAAGATTTTCTTGCCTGAAGGGTAACCTCTTCTAAAAACATCTGTTGATGGGTTAAATCTCAAACTTAAATGTAATATGTAGCATGTGAAAGCTAGAAAGAGCTATAGATATACAGACCAATACCTTTATTTTATAAATCAAGAAACAGGGGCTCGGAGAGATTAAGTGATTTTACCAAGGTCACACAGCTGGGGCTCTAACCCAGGTTGTTTACTGTCTACTCTGGATTCTTCCAGCTTCACTCAGTAATTCTTAACACTACTAAATAATACAGACAATCCATAAACACAAATTGTAACAGATTTCCTTCCAAAATGGCTTGCATTTAGGATGCCAGGGTTCAAAGGAGAGTTTACCTAAAGGTTCGTCTGCTAGCAGTTAGCGTTCTGGGGGCATCACTAGGTAAGGCAAGGCTCTCCTCTCTTGCTTCTGACACAGCCTAGACCTCAGTGCCTCCACGTGGGCCTTGATCCGCTAAGGAAGTCATCAGCACAAGGAATTTGCTGTGTCATGGAATCCGAGTACTGGTCTCTTCCAGAGTCTCTCTCAGCCTGAAGCAGTTCCATAAGGCCTAGGCCTCTCTCTCCCTCATTTCTTTCCTCTGGTCGGCAGCTTGAATCTTATCCTTCTTGCCTACGGGGCTTGACTGGGAGCTATTAGGAGGGTAGTAAGGGCCAATTGACTTCTCCCAGGATTTCTTAATTACTTGACAAGCAAGGAAGGTCCACGAAAGCAGCTTTCAGACCAAGCAGGGATTCGTTTGATCCTTGTCCCTCGGATATCTTTTAGAGTGCTGCGGGTCACCTGCTCCTAGGACACTGGCTTGGTCTGGTCAGTTTTAAGATTTACCGCCAACGCCTGGATCTAACCCAGCTTTGCATATTTCCATCAGTGACAGCCATTTTGATGCCATTATGAATCATGTCTTCAGCACATAGGAAGAGTAGCCGTGCTGTGTGTGCTATGACCAATAAATTATTGTGACGGCCTTTTCTCATAGACTCTCCCTGCTGCTTGCTTCCTCACTTCTCTTTCCGGATGTGCTCTTACTGGCAACTTCTAACTAGGAAATAAGATGCATTTCTCAACTTAAAAAGAAACAGATTGGAAGGAAGAAAAATGAAATGGAGTGCAAAATACAGTTAGGTTAAAAAACAAAACAAGGAGATTGGCAAACAGTGGAAGGCATTAAAAGAGCTAGTTCTATCTGGTCCTGACTACTTAGGTTCATGACCCTGGAAAAGCTATTGTCTTCTTCCTAGGCTTCTGATCCTCCATCTATAAAGTTAGGGCTCAGATCCCTCTTGTTCATTCATTCGTTCAACACATGTTGAATGTTTATAGAGTCCTTACTATATATCAGGCCTTATTCTAGGCATTGGGGATATAAATAAATTATTCTCCCTTTGATAACCTAATGAAGTTACGCAGCTTCTTCCCAGAAAAACAAAACAACAAAAGGAAATAGAAAAAAGAGAAACACAGATATTTTACATAAAATTTCAAGGAGCTCATGACTTCCCTAGGCTTCACTGGGCCCTAATTAAACATATTTCATCTAGTTAGTCTCGAAGTCCTATATCTTACAAAATTAAGGTTTGCAGCTTAGGTTGCATCATCAAATCTTGATTTGTAGCTGTTCTTTTCTTTTTTTTTCCTTACCTAGCAGCTCTGTGTTGTGTTTTTAATCATGGTTTTTGGCCTCCCTTTTGTTGTAGAATAAATATTTGGAATTAGGTAATACTGCAAAAGGCTAGAGTAAATGCTGAACATAAAATCAGTAACTGAAAGGCAAAGCAGGCATGGAGGTGAGGGACAGAAGCAGATGAGAAGTTTTAATGGCCAAATCTAGCCCAGTCCTGCAGAATTTTGAAGTGACAATCCATCTTTCAGGCTAAATGTTCTTGGCAAAGTCTGGTGATTTGGAGGAGGGAACAGAGGTTGGTGTTGAAGCTGGACAGTGTAATGTCTCAACATCAGGGCTCATAGCAAAGATGGATTTTCTCTGGCGCTTTTGACCACCAGGGAAAATTAGAGATAGACAGGAGAGGGATTCCTTGAGAAGGACAGGAACAGTCCATTTGTTGGATTATTATGTTGGTAGACTGGCCCTGTTGGGATGACCCTGTTGGGTTGATAGGTTGCTTTTATATAGCATAGCTGGGGGCTTTATGGCAGGCAGTGCTGCTGAGATCTTCAGTAAAGGAGAAATTGGAAGTCTTTAAGACTCAGAGTGGACATGGAGAGGTCAGCGTGCCAAGGTCCCCCACTCCAAGTCTTCCAAAGCCTCTTTCTCCCCTGCTGTTAACTCCCTCAGAATTCTTCCTTGCAATGAGGAAGGCCTGGCTTTTTTCATTTAGGGTGAAGGATGTTTATGGACTTTAGTGTGATCAGCTACTGATGCAAGCTTTACGTTCAGGGTGAGCGGGATGCTCTTACTCAGCGCTCCCAGTGAAAGGCACTGCTGGGACATGACCTTGGAAGTGGAAGGTCTGGATTAAGATCTGACTTTGTAAAGACTTCAGTAGATTGTGGGAGGATCTGGTGAAGTGTGTGAGTTTCTACTTAAGCAAGAAAGTAACAGATCGCTGCTGCTGAGGCTAAAGAATAGAAACATTCACCTAAAAGCAAATCAGTCCTTCTCATTTGCTCAATTTCCTTATCTGTAAAATGGGAATAACAATAACAACCCTAAGGTTCTGGTGAGGACTCAATCAGATTATGCATGTAAAGAGCTTCACTCAGCTCTCAATAAATGTTAATTGTTGTTATTATTATGTTTTTTCCCCCCTGCCTGACACATATAGCAATGGCATACAAGGCTTATATCATGGAATCTGCAGTCATAGGACCAGAGCTATTCCCTGAGTAACAGATAAAAGATAATCTTTTCTGAAAGCATCTGTCCATTTGCTCCGTAGCCTGCCAGTGCCCAGGATTACCCAACTGGGAGTAAATCAGAAGGGCTGATAGGAAAATCTTTTTCTCTACTTGATGCATCCCTACCCAAAGATTATCTCTTTGTTGTTTCATTCCCCTTTAATTCCTTGCTTTCAAGTTCGTTTTAAAAATCTATTGAATTTAATCACAATATTTTTGCAAATCATTCCCTTTTTCACTTTTTAAACTTTTTTTTGATCAGAGCGGGAAAAAAATGATTCACCCAGAATACTTACCATTCACCTTTTACGTTCGGCTTATATCCAGTCCTAAGTTTTCAGTTTAGGTGATTCCCACCAAGGAAAGAGTAAAGGAACAATAGAAGGGCAAGAACAGATAACACTATTTGCTATCATCAAAGATGCTTTCTATTTCCTTTTCACATATATTTTCTCTTCGTTCCTTCCTTCCTCCAGCTTCACTTTTCACTGTCTTATAAATCTTTTTGTCTTCTCTTATCATCCCTCCCCACCTCAAAAAAAATCTTTGCTCTCTAGTCTTTGATTCACTTACCTTGTTCTATCAAGCATTTCTTTCAGGTCTTAGTTGAAAGTTGCAGGGTGATGACAGGAAGCATCTGATGAGGTCCTTACATTTTCTGGGGAACACTAGAAGAAAAGGGCTACTCTTTGCACCCCGGAACCTATAAAGCCCATCTGAAGCCATTTCAAAAGGCGTTTTTGCCTATGTTTACTGTTTATGTATTTTATTTAATTATCTTAGAAACAGGAGCCTTCTCCACAGGCCTTTCTGCATTTCCCCATCAACTCTACCCATCAACTCTACTCAAAGACTTTTCTCCTTTTTTTAAAAAACCATACTAAAAAGCTCAGGGACATGTCAAACATAAACTGCACAGTAGTCCTTGCTATCTCTTCTTTGCAGCCTTTCAAGGGGCGGCTAAAAGCAGCATAATTTGAGGAAGCAGTACA